GTGCCAGTCACCTGCCGGCCTGGGCGCAGATGACAGCGCTCGACGTGGGAGCCCCCGGGGCGCGCCTTTGTCTCCCCGCGGCCACGGAGGCTAATTAGATTGGGAGGTGGGGGGAGCTGTCCCTATTCACGGCGACACTGAGGCCGCCACTCCGCCCGACAGCCCCGCGCTAGCCAGCCCTAGTCAAGTCTATCGAAACCTTTTCGGCGGCCCGCGCCCCCACCCCACCTCCGCAGCGGTTGCTTCTTTGCGCGCGCTAGCGGGTACGCCCCCCTGAGCCCCGAATCGGCCTGCGGGAACCGGGGCGAGGGCACACGGGCCCCAGGCGAGGAAGGAATTTCCTTAGGCCCCGCGGGCTTGGGGAGCAGAGAGACAGATTCAGCAGGAGAAAGAAATGGGAGGAGGAAGCCCAAAGGGTGTGAGGAAGCCGGAGGGGCGGCCGGAGCGCAGGAGAAAAAGGAAAGAGCGCCAGGGAAGGAGCGGGAGAGAAGGCCAGAAGTGGACGGGGGCGCGCGACGGCTGCGGAGAGCAAGCGGAGCAGGGACAAGGCGGGAGGAGACTGGAACCCGCGTGCGGGAGAGGAGGGGCGGGGGCGCGGGGCAGGGAAGGGGGCGAGGAGCCGCCAGAGGCAGCTGGACCCGCGGACCGCCGGACGCGCGGATCGCGCAGGGGCCCCACTGCCGCCTCGGGGCTGCAGCGCAGGGGGCCGCGGGACCGGGGTAAGCGGCCGGGGCGCCGCGGGTCCGCATTCTTCGTCTTTTCTTCCTCCGGCTCATTCCGGCCGATCGATACCTGCGCGGGCCCTGCCCCCGCCGCTAATATCTTTTTAATGAGTTCGCGGGGCTTAGAGCGAGCGCGAGCTGCCCTCCAGGGTGGATTTTCCCCTGGCAGATGTTTCGGGAGGAGGAGGCGCGCGGGGCCCCCGGGAGGTGGGGACAAATCTCTCCCTCCGAGGGGCGAGGCAGAAGACTCTTCTAAAGTTCAAAAGAAAGACAGGCTTTCACTCGGCCCCCAAAAAATGTATTTCCCGGCGGACAATGGGCTCCTTTCTGCGCCTCCTAGGGCCGGCGGGGCGGGAACCCTTGCGCCGCGGCCCCGCCTGACAGACGAGCGTCCCTCCACCACGGACCGGGGCCGCAGAGTGAGGGCGCGGAAACCGGGAGACCGGCTTCCCTTCCGATCGCCCCGGGAAGAGCGCAGACCAGACCTGAGCGCACAAGCGAGAACGAAAGTGCGTTGCGGGAGGAGGAGCGGGGCCTGGGGAGCCTTAGGCGGCCCCCCTCCCACCCTGTGCCCTGGGCCTCGCAGATGCGGCCACCGCACCCGAAGGGGCTCCTGCGGGTGCCTCGAGGGGAGGTAGGACGGGGTCTCCGGGGTCGGGCCATGGCCCCGGTTCTCTCCGCGATCCACCCAGCGCGGGTCAACAAGTAGAAATCACCAGCCAGCCTCCCCGAGTCCCGCTTCACCTGCCCCGATGTCCACCTGCCCCGCCCGCCCAGTGCCCCTCAGTCCGTGGGGTCGGCCTGCCCGCTGCCGCCTCCCTCTCTCCCCTCCCGTGGGCGCGCGGAGAAAGGGGGACCCCGGGCTATGAGGATGACCTCCGAAGAGCCGCGGCCGATTGATTCGTTCCGCCCGGATCCCGGGCCGCGTGAATGGGGGCCCGGGCGGCGGCGGCGGCGGCGGCGGCGGCGACGACGGGGATAAAGATGTTGTCCCCGCCAGGGGGAGGAGGCGCGGGGCGGGAAGCGGGGCCATTCACTCCTGGCCCGGCCCCTCGGGAAGCCGCGCCGAAGAAAGAGGGCCGGGGCCTATTCAAGCCCTACGAGCCTCCCACAATGGACCGATATACTGGGGGCCTCTCTATTAACGCCCATGAATATTAAAGAGATCTAGGAGCGGCGGCCCGCGGGCGCGAGGGCGGAGGTGGCGGGGGGTGGGTGCCGCGCCTGCGAGTTCAGGCCGGGCTGGGGCTAAGGAAGGGGGCTTGGTGCGGGCGCACAGCGCCCCCGGGACCCCCGGAAAAGGACTCGGTTCATCCGCGGAGAAACCTTGGGAAATGCTGGGCTTTCCCTCTCAATCTCAGCGAGGGTAGATGCAAGCGCGGGGGCCTTGCTGCCCAGTTCCAAGGGGCCCTGAGACTGGGGCGCGGTCGGATGGGTCGGCGGCTAGACCAGAGCCACAAAATGTGAGCGCGCGGTGGAGCTGCTCCCGGGCCGCTCCGTCTCCGTCCCGCCCACAGCACCGCTCTCTGGGTTCGCGGGTGCAGGCGAGGGGACTAGGCTCCCTGGCTGCAGTCCGAACCCTCCATCACTTCATCTTCTGACCCCGAGCCAAGAAGGTCCAGAACCTGAATGCTGCACCCCAGGACAGAGGGACCGCACAGACTTCTCGGTGGGGTGTGGCCCCTGGAATCGGCAAAATTTGCAGGGTATTCACTGGAAAGTGACCTGACCCAGAGAGACACAAGGCGCGAAGAAGCCTCAGTTCGTGAAGTCCAACCCAAACCATTGCACACTCAGGGACACCGAGGCTCGGAGAGAAGGGCCGTCTCAAGGACGCACAGCAGGCCTCGATCCGTCGCTGTCTCCCGGAGGCGCTCGCTGAGCTTGGCTGCGGCTCCTGGGGGCTCTCCCCGACGGCGTAGTCGCCTCCATCCTGGGCGCATCTTGCTCTCCACCGAGTCTTCCTAGAAACAGAGGCCCAGGCTCGGGGGAGGCTCCCACGCCCGGACTCCTTCCGCTCGCCTCGGAATCGAACTTTCGGCTCAAGCCAGAGCCAGCGTGGCTCTCTGGCGACGGCTGGAGGAAAGTCGAGGTTCCCGGGACCCTAGCCCGGGCTGCAGCCCGCTCCTCCGCCACGCTGCCCTCTGCTGGCGCCACGCCCGACGGTCGCCCCTGCTGCCCAGGGCGGCTTCCCCTGGGGCATCAGACTCGAGGCGACCTCAGCCCCTGGCTCTGAAGAATGGGGGTTCCCGCCTTCCTGACTCTATGCTCCGATGCGCACCCCGGGAGGACAGGAGGCCACTGGCCCGCACCGGGTGTGTCTTAGTGTGTTGGTGGCCGCCAGGTGCGGGGCTGGCTTAGCAAAGGCAGGACCCAGCTGTGAAGGGGGCTCTTTGCCAAGGGGCACTGACAGTACTCCTTGTAGGAACCAGGCCCCCCTGCCCCTCTGCCCAAGTCCCCTCTCTGAGGACAAGGCCTGGGGGCCGGCTCCCATTCCTCCAGCTCACCAGTGAGCCCAAGGCACTGGCCTGAAGGTCCAGAAAACCGGTTATTGATATCGGACACTGGTGGGGAGGGTGCGGAGTTCAGCAGATGGGGGTGCCCTCGGTGCTCCCCATCCCTCGTCTTGGGCTGGGGGGCGGGGTGGGACTTGAGACTAACCCTGGGCGGCAGCAAAGTCCGCAGGTTAGCGGTAGTCTTCCCGCTTTGGTTCCCGGCTCCTGGTCTCCCTGGAGAGACTGCGCTGGCCCTCCGGGAAGCCTTGGAACCTTCGTGAAGAAAGTCTGCTGGCCCGGTGAGGTTGAGGTGGGGTGGGGAAGCAAGTAGGCAGGGAGGGAGTGAAGGGGAAGCTAGAAGAGAAAGAGGTAGGAGGCAGGAAGGGGTGCGGGGCGCTAGGTCGCAGTTGAACTGAAGGAGCCAAGGGGTTCGAGCTTCTAGCCGAGAGCGCACCGCGGCCCGGCCCCGGGGAGCTCCCTGAAGATGCGGAGGGCGTTCGCTCCTTGGCACCGCCGCTCGCATTGGCGATGCTCCGGGGACCTCTTTCGATCGCCCTGCATCCGTCAGGAAAAAGCCTTTGCCAAGCGACCAGCGAATTTCGGTCTGCGAGTGTGCCCTTCCCAACCCCGATCTAGCCCCCCTAGGGCCGGGAGATGTCTCCCGCGAAGCCGTCTCGGGCCAGCCTCAGCCCCGACGGCGGCCGCAGCTCCGCCCCGCAGCCCTCTCCGCCCAGAGAGGAGTTTCGCAACCGGCTACCGGCAGTCAGCCGGGCGGTTGCAGAGGCCCGTTTGAAGCGAAGCGCCGGCCTCGGCAGCGTCGTCTGCGCAGGAGTTCAGCGCGGGCCTGCTCCAGGCCGGCTGGCTCCAGGGCGACTACCGCAGTCTGGGGCGTGGAGCCCAGGGAGAGCGTGGCACCGGGCGGGCCGGGCGGGGCCAGGGAGCTCAAGGGAGGTGAGTGGCGGCCTGGCCCAGCCGGGATGCCGAGGGCAAATCCGGCCTGGGATCGAGGGTGAGCGCGGGGCCCGAGGGCAGGCGTCTCCTCCTGCCTAGTCTTGGTCCCTGGAGTCCAAGCGAGCTTCGCTGCGCCCCCTGCCCTGCTCCGTCCCCCTCCTCTCTTCGCCGCGGGCCGAGCCTCCTTCCCGGCCCGGCGCTTCCCACGGGGAGAGGAGGAGAAAGAAGCAGGGAGGAGCGCAGGGGGGGACCGATCCGAGCGGCCGAGCGCCCCCGCCCCTTTAGCTCTGGCGGCGAAGGCTCCTCGCGCCTGGGCCGGGTACAACAAGTCTGTCCTCCGACGTCAGGGGGTCATTAATAACCAATTAGGAGGGTCACTGCGGCTCCTATAAAGGCGCTGAGATTTTTTGCCAAGGGGAAGACCGTCCGGGCCGGGTGTGTGAGAGGCGAGCGCGCGGCGGAGAGCCCCTCGCCGCCCGTTTCTCTGCAGCCACCCGCCTCCCACCCACCCCGCACCGCCCGCCCCCGTCTTCCCGCACCCGCCTCCGCCTCCACCCCTGGCTCTCCAGCCCTTCGCGCCGCCTCTGCCATCGCTGCACATTTCTCGTCTCCCTCTGCCTTTCTGCCTCGCTCCCCCTCGTTCACTTCCCTCCCAGCCACCCCCTCGCCTCCTGCTCCCTCCTGCCCCTTTTCTTTCCCCAGCACAGCCCTCTTCTCTCGCTCCTGGACTCCACCCACCCCTCCCCGGCTCGCCCATCACATCCCCCGCCTCGGCCGGGCCGTCCGTCCGTCCGTCCCTCCGTCCTCGGCGCCGGCGAGTCCCGGGCCGCCCATGATGGGCTCCGTGCTCCCGGCGGAGGCCCTGGTGCTCAAGACCGGGCTGAAGGCGCCGGGGCTGGCGCTGGCCGAGGTCATCACCTCCGACATCCTGCACAGCTTCCTGTACGGCCGCTGGCGCAACGTGCTGGGCGAGCAGCTCTTCGAAGACCGGAGCCAGCACGCCAGCCCCAAGACCGCCTTCACCGCCGAGGTCCTGGCGCAGTCCTTCTCGGGCGGTGAGTCGCGCCGTCGGGGCCGATCGCATCCCTCCCTCCCCGCAGCTCCCTGCTTCCCGGGCCCACACGCCCGGGCCGCGGCGGGGACCAGAGGGCGGTGGCAGCCGCTCGCCCCCATCCGGGCGTTCCAGACGCGGCCCGTGACTCAGTTTCCCGTAAGCCGAGCCCGGGCGGGCGAGGGTGGGGGGCGCCTCCACCGCGCGCGGCTCGGAGTCCGAGATCTAGGCGCTCCGGCTGCCGGGCCCGCCGCCCCCGCGCTTCCCCAGCCGCCCCTCACCCGCTTTGAGCCGGCGGGTTCCCGGCATTTAAAGCCTTACTAGGCGTGTAATAGCAGTTGACTCAAAAAGAAGGGGTTTTAAATTCATTTAGTTAACTTGGGCTTGACCCGCGAGAGTTCCCACTTAAACCAAGAACTTTAAAAGGCAGCGGGGGCTGGGGAGGGGGCGGAGGGAGGGCGGACGGGAGAGAAAGCATCGGAGAGAGAGCGAGGGAGAGAAAGAGAGAGGGAGAAAAGTTTCTTTTCTTTAAGATGTCTCAAGTTCTTACTCCTCATTCATCAACGCGCAAACAATATCTTTCCCCGGCGCTGGCATCTCTGCGCGTCGCCCCCTTTTCCCCCCTTACGATTTCTGTTCCTCTCTTAATTTACCGTGCAGACTAATTCCACTTCCATTCACGCTATGTCAACCGTCTAATCCCCCCTTTTTGTAAGGGGAATTCCTCGGCCCCTTTTAAACAAGTCCCCTCCGCATTGAGCTACAATTTACTGCTACAGCATTCTTCCAGGGCTAATGAATTTAGAATTAGCAATTTCTTTCGAATGGGGCCGAATGAATGCGATCACTTTAACAGCGTGACAAATTGCCGGCCGCGCCGCAATGGACACCGTTTAACCCCCCCCTTTCAGCCGGCCCGCTCGCCGGGTATTTTCCCAGGTAGCTTAGAGGGGAACCTTGTAAGACATGAAGGCCGCCCCTGTGCGCCTCACCGCTCCCACCCCGGCTGCCCGGCCAAGGCAGAAGGACACCCCCCGGGGGGTTGCGGGCCGCCCCGGCTCGTCCACCCGGAGAGGCGACTTCGCGGCTGGCCTAGGTACGGGCACTGCCCTCCCTGGCACCCTCGGATCTCGCCGGGCAGCGAGGAACCCGGGCGAGCCCAGGGTCACCCAGTAGCGTGAAACACGGCCCGCCGCCTTCGCCCGCGTTTGTTTTGAGCCTCCTCCGCCTCAAAGCCCGACTTCCTTTCCCAGCGCGGTCGGCGCGCCGCGGGCGCGAGGTTCCCGCACCCCGAGCGGAGTCAGAGTCCCTGGCCGAGCCCCTGGCCGAGCCCCTGGTCCCCCGACAGTGCCCTGCGCTCCGTGCCGGAAAGCGCAGCGCGCGCGGAGCCACGGGAGAACCGCCCAGAACCCGAGCCTGGCGAAAGAATCTTGGCTGGGCCGTCACCTCCTCGTGGGAGCGGGCCTCAGTTTACTCAATGGTTAAGGCCTGCACTGCCGTCGGCCCAGCAATTCTTAAACTTGGCTGAAGTGGAGGGAAGGGGCGGTTGTGGATATTCTGAGAATTCGTGGAGAGACCCAAAACAAAAACGAACACAAGAGAACTCACCTAGAAATGAATCCCAAAGGAACCTCTTGCTTTCGGAGGCTCCGTGGGTTGCTGAGCCTCCACCCCCGGGGGAGGGTGTGTGGGGGGAAAGCCGGCCTCCCTGCCTCCCGCTCTAACCCAGTCCCCCTGCCTGGCGGCCACAGAGGTTCAAAAGCTATCCAGCCTGGTGCTGCCGGCCGAGGTGATCATCGCGCAGAGCTCAATCCCCGGAGAGGGCCTCGGCATCTTCTCCAAGACGTGGATCAAGGCCGGCACCGAGATGGGCCCCTTCACTGGCCGGGTCATCGCTCCGGAGCATGTGGACATCTGCAAGAACAACAACCTCATGTGGGAGGTAGGCAGGGTCGCCGGTTGGGGGGCTGGGGGGAGAGCAGTGTGGACTGAAGGGCATGGGATGTGGATGGTGCCCTGACGGCCTGCCTGAACCGCTGCTGCTTCCTCCCTTGCTGGTAGCCGTAGGGGCTTTGCGCTGGGCCATGACCCGTCCCTTAGGTCGATTCCTACACCTGCCTGATGTCTGGAGGTTCCTCCCCAAATCGCAGGGCGAAGGCTCTCTCCTCTCTGGAAACTTGGGGAGCACTTCCGGAGGGGGGCTTGGCGCCGGGACCCAGAGAAGTCATGTGCCTTGCCCAGAATCCCACTGGAGACTTGGGAAGCCATTCCTGGAAGCCACCTCCATTCCTGGAGCCACCTCCCAGCCACCTGCATTTTTTCCCCTCACTCCAGCAGCAGCAAAAGAGAGCCCCTCAGAGCCAGCCTTGGCCTTGGGCTGATCATGGCTGGAAGGAAGGATGAAGGGAGAGGGTGCTCCCTGGGAGTCGGCTTCTCAAACCAGGTGGAACAATGACAGCGGACAGAATGGCCGTGAACTGGCACAGAGTCAGCTTTCTGATCAGAGTCCGCTTTCTGAGCACTGGGCCGGCATTCCACCAGATTGTCTCAGCAGCCCAATGAGTTATTATTCCCGTTTTAGAGAAGGAAGGTGACCTTCCATCCAAGGTCTTCTGTCTCTCCTCTCTACAACAGTGCCAGATGCCAGCAAAGTCCCNCCCCCCCCCCGAGATAAAGCCATTCCCAGAGCACTTCTGCCTCCTGGGCCTCTCACTTTGAGGAGGTCAGGCTGATGCACCCACTCCCTAGTGTCACTGTCCTTCCCTTCCTCAGGGCTCCCCACCAGGGCCCCCTCCTGGCAGATGCTCAAGGAGCCGTGGGACAAATCCTACACGTGGCCACAGGAGCAGAGGAAAGAGGCCAGAGGGATGCCCCCAGGCCGCTCCTAACCTCACCTCCTCCCATACCTCTGGAGACCCGCACCAGCAGTTCCTTTCTCCACTGGTTGCTGGGTTAGGAAGTTGGGCTCCAGTAGATCTTGGAGTACTTTTGGTGGCTCCCACAAAGAGAGGCCAGGCCAAGGTCCCCAAGTGGGCCAGGCTTCCCTTTCTAGGCTCCTCTGTGTCTCCTTCTGAGGTCCTGGCCAGCGCTCTCCACTGCTTGCCCGGAGAGCAGGCTGGAGGGGATACTGTCTTGGTCAGTGATCTCCTGGAGACCCCTTTTCACGCGGGGATGGGGAGGCCGTGGCAGCAGGAGCCTGTGGGGCCCTGGGACTGACCCCCTGTTGGCCACTTCTAGCCAGCCGGCCTCAGGCAAGTCGCCATACTGCTCTGAGCCCTCCTTTCCTCCACTGGAAAACCGAGACAATAACAGCTGTGTCCACTTCCTGGGAGTGTTGGAGGCTGGAAAGAGACAATGTGTGGATGCGCCTGGTGTGGGGCCTGGCCCTGGCCCCAGGCAGCACACAGCACACAGCCCTGCCTCACCCGGCCCCTGATCTACCTGCGCCCAGGTGTTCAATGAGGATGGCACGGTGCGCTACTTCATCGACGCCAGCCAGGAGGACCACCGAAGCTGGATGACCTACATCAAATGCGCCCGTAACGAGCAGGAGCAGAACCTGGAGGTGGTCCAGATCGGCACCAGCATCTTCTACAAAGCCATTGAGGTGAGTGCGTTATCGTTGCACACGGGGCAGTGGGGGTGCAGGGCAGTTGTGTCCAGGGACTGAAGTGGAAGCAAGAGGGGAGTGTTGGGGAAGATGCTGGCCTGGCTGGCCCTGCCCAGGCTGAAGGACTGAAGCCTGAGCATCATGGTGTCTGGGAGCATGACCTCCATGACCTCCAGAGCCTTTGACTGTATGCCATTGTGAATGTCATGGCCGCCTCAACAGCAAGGTCCCAGGATATCTGCTGAGGCTGTCCTGGGATTGCGAAGCCACAGAGATGGAGAGAACAAGTCCTCAGAAAGCAGTCCAGGGAAAGCATCTGCTGGGAGAGAGGGTATTGCGTCGGCAGTATTTCGGCCCATCGTCCTGCATGCATGGGCCACCAGTGATGTGTGGATGGTGTGGATCGCAACTCTAGCCTCAGCTATCACATCCTCATCACTTGAAGCAGCAGGCTCTTCCTAGATGTGGTACAAGCGTGATCATGTTTAATCTTCATGTATTTAATCTGCAAGGAAGGCTTCTGTGACCATCTACAGTTTACTGGGTCTCACTTGGTAGACTGGCAGACTCAGGAGCTTTTATAGGCATTGGAACAGGGTAGGGGTAGGGGGATGTTAGCATTGATATCTGAGCGAATGAAGCTTCTCAGACAAGAGGGAAAGTGGAAAGCGAGAGATAGCAGGCAGATATGTATCATTTCCCATGATGGGGGTGGGGGCGGGGCAGGGAGCTGGCCAGGCCCAGGGCAGGAGGTTCAAGGGGGATGGAAAGGAGGTGTCCCCAGCAGGGAAATGCTTGGGCAGAAGCAGACAGACTCATGCTTTTGGGGAGGAGATCATGGCATGGGTGGTGGTAGCTGAGGCAGCCAGGCTGCTGGGACCCTTAAGACCTTGTCCCTTCCAGAATATTTGCTCAGTGTCTGGCCCAGGACGGGGGGAGCAGCCCCGCCGCCCTGTGGCAGGTTGGCAGCAAGTGCTGGGCCAGGGGCGGGAGGGGGGTGTGAGGGTATCGTGCCCCCACAATACTCTGGACCCCACGCTTGTGGGAAGAGGCACGGTGCCTCTTGGGGTGTGGCTGGGCTTGGCTGAGTTTGGGGGTGTTCTGAAGGAGCTCCCACTCCAGGCCAGAGAAGGACTCCCCCTTCCTTTAGTCCATTTTCTTCCTGCAACTCAGAGCCTCACGTCTTTATAAGGCTCTGAGGGGGCACTGGACAGCTGTCGCTCAATAAGCAAGCCCCAGGGAGTCTCCCAGGGCTGGCAACAGAATGGCCTTTGCTTGGGTCCTGGTGTGGCCAGGAGGTGTGTCCCAACGAGGGCTGGACCCGAGGAGGTCCAGAAAGGGTAAAGAGAGGTTGGGCAATGCCCTGGAGGTCCAGGGGTTAGGGCTCAGCACTTTCAATGCCGGGCCCAGGTTTGATCCCTGTCTCAGTACTGAGATCCTACACGCCCTGCTGTGCAAAAAAAAGGAAGGTGAGCAGTTCTCGGACTGAAGTTTGCATGAGACGGGATAGAGTGAGGACAGGACTGATCCGAACCCAGGCTGAGAGTGGAGGTGCTTCTTATGGGAGGAAGGCCAACCCTAGGACTGGCCTTATGTGTGGCTGAACTGTGCTTTTGGCAGAGAGCACTCCCTCACCCGCTCAGCCTCACATGCATCCTTAACATTTGTACACTGCTTCCTGGCTACCCTGAAACAGATGAGATGGGGGACACACACTCATTCCATCGCTCCCACGGAGACACATGCACACTCATACACACACACACACACACACACAGAGGAAACAGGGTAAGGATGCCAATGTGATTTTAGCAAAGGACTCCCGACTGCATCAGTTATGGAGACAGGAGTCTCATCTCACTGTTCCGGTCACTGGCTGAGCGCTGAGCAGAGCCAGGAAATATTAACAGACATTTGTACAGAAATTCAGAGTCAGAGGGCTTGGTGGCTAAGATGTATCTCCACGGAGGAATGTAAGATTATAAGATTTTTAAAAGTCATCTACATTTGATGGGGAATTAAAATTGAAGAAAAGAAGGGAATCTCCTAGTGGTCCAGTAGTTAGGCCTCAGCCCTTTCACTGCCAAGGACCTGGGTTCAGTCCCTGGTCGGGGAACTAAGATCCCAAAAGCCACCACTCGGAGCAGCCAAAAAACAAAACAGAATAAAATACATTTTAAACATTGAAGAAAGAAGATTAGGAAAATATATCCTCCTGGATATGATCTAGATCACTGGATATCACCAATTTGGCTATCCATGCTTTTACAGAATTAGCAAGTCGAGTGCTGGAGTGAGGGATAAGAAAACACAAAATATCACCCATTTTACTTTAAACAAGTGATATTGGGCACCTTGGTTTTTTTTTTTTTTTTGTGGTGGCAGTTTTCTTAAAGTGACATGCCAAAATGTCAGATGCCAGACCAGCGGTGCGTCTGGGTGTGTGTGATCGACAGCCATGCACCAGGGCTCGGCCGGAAGAAATTCCTGCTGCCCCAGGCCACTCCCTGGGATGTCTCTGGAGTGCGGGGGCTGTTTGTTCTGTGTTTGTGTGAGGGAGCCAAGAAGGGTCTGTGCCATGACCTGTTTTCTAAATCTTCCTGTCACCCAGAACTGCTATGTCTATTTCATAACAGTAACCCGTTTCTGGCGAAAAGGAAAAAAAAAATGGAAAGAAGCATCTTCATAAAATAAGCAGAATATAATATGGCTCTGAAATTTTCTATAGATACAAAAGGAAGGCCGTTCAAATGGAGACGAGGGTGATGGGTTTCTGGGGCCAGCCGGTCCAGGTGGATTTGGTGTCTTGCTGGATTTGCCGGCATGTTATACTAGGACCCTGTCTCCCCTTGCAGTCTTCTGCCAAGGAAGAATGTACTGTAACCTCAGATACCTAAAATGACATTTCTAGAAATTGCACAGCACATGGGCACTACATGTTAATGAATAAGTCTTTCTCCGGGTGATGGGAGCTGGCTTGAAAGTGGACACACAGACGTGTTTCTCCCAGGAAAACAAAACTGGTAGATAAAACTGGCTGCCCTGCAAAACAAGAAATTTGACCCCCAAATTCAACACAAGTAAAGTATTTAGGAATAATTTATGCAAATTTTGGATTTGGGAACTGGGAAGAAACTTCTCAGGCTTTCTTCTCCTGATGTTTTGGCGTAGGACTGTGCCCTGAAATGGGGGCTCTTTCCTTTTTTGTGACTTTTCTTCTCATTCCAGGCTATTGAAATTCTTCTCCCCCTAGAGCCCAACAGCTCCATCTCTCCATCTTTCTTTTTCTTTGAGGACAGGCTCTATTTTCCTTTCAATCTTGCTTACTGGTGGGTGCAGTTAAGGGACTTGGATTATTAATAATAAGCATCATTAATGATGCTACCGTCCTTGGAGCAGTTACTATGTGCCGGCACCACGCTAAGGATTTTCGCAGGTTTCATCCCCTCAGCCTGGGGCTTTCCCTATCCCCATTTTAATGACGATGAAACTGAGGTTCAGGGGGACCTTGGGAGACAGTTGAGCTGTGGCTTGACTTTGTCTGACCCCCAAGCGGAGCCCTCGGTCACTGCGCCGCGGGACCTCCCTGGCCAATATCTATTTGCTGCCACTCTATTAATTGGTGTGTCAGGACATCTGTGGTACAATGGAAATTGATATTCGTCCAGATGACACTGAGGTCCTTCTGGACGAGGGTTTCTGTACCAACCGGGGGTGGGGGCAGGGGGCATCAGAATCTCCTGGGAGCATGTTCAATGTTGTGACATGAATTTATATTAGGAAAACAAACCCAAACCCCCACACGTTTGCAACTGATAATAAAAATTCAGAAATGGGTCAGGACAAAACTTCTGGGCTGATAGGGAAGGTGAAGAAGCACGCATTGGGAGATTATGTAATTTGAAGAGTCAGCTGAAGAGTCAGGCTCTGAAATTCACCCAGAGTCTTGCGACGCGAACTTTATGGTGCGGCATCCGTTTCTTTGGGAATTGCTTTGTTTATGGTGTGTCCTGAGTTAGTCTCCGCTCTCCAGAAAAGTGAATGAGCAGCTGATTATCATTCTCTGAGCCCCAATGGAGAGCCACGGCTGGGCCAGGTCAGAGTGTTGACGGGAAAGAAATGGGGCTAGGGTCTTCTCAGGCAGTCCAAGGGATAAGACGTCCCACTTCCACTGTGGGGGGCGGGGTGTGGGTTCGATTCCTGGTCGGGAGACTAAGATCTTACATGCCGTGCGGTGGACCCCCCTCCACAAAAAAGGAGAAATAGGGCTCCTGAGGGCACTGGGGGGCCCTGCAGAGGACCATGGCTGTTCTTTGCTCTTAGGCGATTAGCATCCGGGAGCCTCCGGACAACGGTACTAGGATCTCAGGGAACAGGCGGCTGGTTCTTGGGCTCTCCTGGTCTCCATCTCTGGGGTCATTGGGAGCAGGCAGAGGCCAGAGATCCAGGCCAGGAGCTGCCGCAGGTCTCCCGGAGCTCTGATGGGTAGAGAGAACCTTCAGTGCCCAGCTTCCAAGAGGTGAGGCCGTCTTCCCCAGTGCTTCTTTGAGAGCTGGACACTTCTTTTTTTTTCTTGACTGAGATAACCTCATATACTCTCGTGTCATCAGTTCTGATTACTTTATTTTTAAACATTTTTAATTTTGTATGGGGGTACAGTCGATTAACAATGTTGTGATAGTTTCAGGTGAACAATGAAGGGACTCAGCCATACACACACATGTATCCATTCTCCCCCAAACTGGAAGCTTCTTGCTGTCTGGGGGTGTGTGTCATTGTCAATTCCAGCGAGTTCTTTTTAATAGATTTTCTTTCTTTAAAAACTATTCTTTTTGTGGGACTTGCCTGGTGGTCCAGTGGCTAAGACTCCATGTACCCAATGCAGGGTGCCCAGGTTCGATCCCTGGTTAGGGGACTAGATCCCACATCCTGCAACTGAAAAAACTAAAAATAAAAAAAAGCCCCTCCTGTTGCAACTAAGACCCGGCACAGCTAAATTAATTAATTAAAAAATATATATTCTTTTTGTATAAAAGTAACATGTGTTCATTAATTTTTAAAACATCAGATGCAGCATGTAGAAGATGTAAGTCAATTTTAATCAACATTAGAAAAAAAAAGGTCTCAAAATGACAAACCCCTCTCAGGAAAGATTCGCAGAAAACCAGAAAACATGGCTGGGCACTCTGGCTGGGAGAATTACTTTTCCCAATATGCTCCTTTGTGTCTGTGTCAGTGTTCTAATTTTTAAAATCCAGGAGTAAAATTAATTTTAGTCCATTTGAAAAACGTGTCCATGAATAAATGACTCAGTCAATATTAAAGCTCTTATTTTAAAAATATTGTCCCCAACCACCATTTTGAATAATAATCTTCAGAATTCATGCATTTCCAGATGTTCTTGGCTCCTCATTCATCACCATGACTGCTGTCACTGTTGTATTTGTTTTATGTTTCGTAATGGTTGTCACTGTCAGTTCAAATGAAAAGGCCGGTGTTGACTTAGGTATTTGACTCCCAAACTGCAAGTCTGGAGATGGCAGTGTAGTTTTCAGAGACATCGTGGGGGCTTGCTGACCCTTCTCACCCCACCTCTGGGCTTTCCCCTCCTGCTCAGGGCAGATGGGGCCAGGACACAGTGGCACCAGCGTGGTATTGGCGTCCTGGGGGCATGCGGGCCAGTTTGTGCTTTTTTTTTTTTCCCTGCCTCCTGGCATCCGGGATCTTAATTCTCCAGCCAAAGATTGAACCTGGCCCTCTGCAGTGAAAGTGTGAAATCCTAACCACTGGACCACTGGGGAATTCCCCAGCCTGTGTTTTTGATGGTCACTGAAGGCAGAGCCACGGACATCCTGGGCCCCCCCCCCCGCTACACTGCAGGCTTTGTGGGGACAACTGGGGAACCCAATACCCCATAGATGGATGCCCAGCAGAGGTGTGGTCACTCTTTTATAGTTGGGGAAATTGAGGACTGATGACAGAAGGTCACTTGCCCAAGGGGGCACGCTCAGCAGGTGGGGAGCCCAAGTGGACCCTGACCTGTGTGACCCCAGAGCCAGAGCCAGAACCCTGGGCAGTACCATCTCCTGAAGGAAGGGGCATGTACAGATAGCTGGACAGCTGGACCAGACAACTGGTCACTTGAGAAGAACCGTGATGTACAAAGATCTGGTGTCATCTGAACATTGAAGCCAGGGGCTGGGACAATGTTGGAGGTGACTGACAGAGTCTTAGAATTGGGGGGACCTCAGAGATCATGCTCCCCACCCCCCTCATTTGAGGAGACAAGCTTAGGAAGGCCGAGTGCTCGCCTAAGGTCACCCGGGGACCCAGGGACTGAAGGCCCACTGGCACCATCTCTCAGCAGCTTCCTTCGCAGTGAATTTGTCCTGAATACTTTAGCTCCATCACCCTCTTTTCTAAGGGGTTCACTGACCCTCTCTCAGCTTTTCCAGCAGGCCCTCCAGCTCTGACCTGCTGGCCTCCTTGACAGTGGCCATGCCTCTGAATGATCAGAGGCCACGAGGACTCTTGCTGCAGTGCCAGATTCGCATCTATCTGCTTTTAGGCACGGCCCAATTTCCCTTGGCTTCTGAGACTGCATTTGGTCTTTCCATATTTAAACCCCATCAGTCTGAGCAGGCGTGGCACCCTCTGCCAGGCTCCTTGTCACTCACTGACCGTGTGGCTTGCCATGACACCCCAAGGGCTGTGGGGTCTGTTGGAAAGGGGCATGGGGACCTCAGGCTGAGTCATCGGAGGATGGACATCACCTAGGCCCCCTGGAACTTTGCTTCTCCCACCCCCTCCTCTTCCTGCTTCCCTCCCCTGCAGGGTTAGGCAGAGCTGGCTCTGATGGTCTGAGGTTCTTCCTGGCTTGGACCGGAAGAACGCAGGTGTGGCAAGCAGAAGCGTTCTGTGATTGGCAGGGTTCTTCAGGTCAGAACCAAAGGGAAGGGGTGGGGGCTTTTTCTGTGACCCCGGGGGTCAAGGAGAAGGGTCGTTTTCTAGGGTGATTTCAGACAGCCTACATGGAGTCCTGTGTGATTTTTTTTTTATTCACTTCAACTAAAAGAGGACTCACCCAGGGACTTCCTGGCAGCCCAGTGGTTAAGACTTTAAACTCCCACTGCAAGGGGCACAGGTTCAATTCCTGGTCCAGGAACTAATATCCCACATGGCACGTGATGCAGCCAGAAAACCAAAAAGGACCCACTAGGAAAACAATCCAGTTGTTGCCTGGGGGTGTCCGCCTTTCTCTGTGCCAGTCAGAGAGTGACCCCCAGAGGGGGTACCAAAGTCACTCCTCTGGGATTCAGGCCTCAGGAGGTGATGGGCCTTGCCCTCTTGCCTTTGCTCTAGCTGGATGGGACCTGAGGATTCTTCACCTTGAGTAACTGGCTGCCACCAAAGGGGTGGCAGGCCCCTGGGATGTCCCAGAGGGCAGGTCGGCACCACCGCAGGAGCGAGCCTTCCACAGCCTCCTTGGATAGTCACTGGAGAGCCCTCCTGATGGCAGGACCCTTCGGCAGGTCCTCCCCCGGGAGCAGCAGAGCCCTGTCACTGTGGAGTTCCCTGCCATAGACCTATCACCGTTTAGTTCCCAAGTCACATCTGACACTTGTGCAAACCATGGACTATAGCCCACTAGGTTCCTCTGTCCGTGGGATTCTCCAGGCAAGAATACTGGAGTGGGTTGCCATTTCCTTCTCCAGGGGATCTTCCCGACCCAGGGATTGAACCCTCGTCTCCTGTGTTGCAGGTGGATTCTTTACCTCTGAGCCACCTGGGAAGCTGTACCATAGACCTATGACACGAGACAGATCCCATTTAAGGCTGGGTGCCCCCATATGCCTGGAGGCAGAAGCATCATCGATCTGAATGCTTCTTTTTTAGCCATTTGCAGGGAGTCATACAGAGGCCTGTGACGGGGAGAGAAGTGTGTGTGATGTGGTGCTGGCTCCTAGGTGCGCTGGTTGAGAGATGTTCCCAGAACATCATCAGGCAGGGTGTAACTGAGAACCACAGGGCACCCTGCAGCCCATGCTCCTTGGGGATGTCTGGCTTAGCCCTGCAGACCTGAGGGCTGGCTAGCTCTGATTCCCCTTGGAGAGAAATGACACGTTTTCTAGCTTTCCTTCTTCGGTTACTTCTATTTGCAGCATGCTTTCCATCCCATTGTTGTCAGTTTGGGAGAGTGGCCAGGAGACAGCTCTGGTCCCAGCAGCAGAGCTGAGATGAGACAGTGAGAAACCTGGGCAGAGTGAAGCAGAGGGGCGGAGCATCCCAGGGCCTCCCATGTCTATGAAGCTTGTTGGAGATAGCCTGGTAGAAAGGGATCCCAGTGTGGCTCTCTTGGGGCTGCGACTGTATCCACATGTCCATGGTGGGAGCTAGGACAGCTCCTCCTGGCTGTGAGGGGACATCCCCCCTGGCGAGGGGTGGGGGCAGGGGCCTGCTGTCTCCCTGACTTCCTCTCGCTTCCTTCCCTACAGATGATCCCTCCAGACCAGGAGCTGCTGGTGTGGTATGGAAATTCACACAACACCTTCCTGGGGATCCCTGGTGTGCCCGGACTGGAGGAGGAGCAGAAGAAGAACAAGCATGGTAGGTAGTCCCCATGAGCCCACAGTGACGATGGAGCCACAGAGCTCACAGAGGGTGAGCGAGTGAGTGAGGGTGTGTCCCCATGAGCCCACAGTGACGATGAACCCACAGAGCTCAGAGAGAGGGTGAGCGAGTGAGTGAGGGTGTGTCCCCATGAGCCCACAGTGACGATGGAGCCACAGGGCTCAGAGAGGGTGAGCGAGTGAGTGAGGGGCTGTGTGTGTGTTTGGCAGGGAAACTCCTGGCCTCTGGGGACCTTGGTTCCACCTCCAGCAGCGTCAAGCACACGGCACTTCCTGGTTTAAGGAGGCTGATGCCCCTGGAGCCACAGCCATGGTCCAGGCACGGATGGAAGACAGTTCTGATTCTGGACAAAATAGACTGTCTGGGGGCAGACTGGGTGGAGGGAGAAGCAGGGTGTGGCAGAGGAGCAAAGGCCAGGCAGTAAAGACACTGGATTGAATTCCAGTTCTGCTGTGCAATCTTGGGAAATGGCTCTGTGCTTGGTTTCCCTGCCTCTCAAAGAAGGATGTTTGTTAGGCAAGATGATGTCTAAGCGCCCTCCCAGCTCTGTCCATGGTGCTGGACCTGGCACAGAGTAGGTGCTCAGTGTGCATCTGTTGAATGAAGGCTGAGCAGAGAGAGACACAGAGAGAGAGAGAGAGAGAGAGAGAGAGAGTGTTGGGTGGGGCGAGGCGGGGGCACTGATCATCATGGTAGAGACCATTTGCTCAAGACCTATTTCCTGCCAAGTATTGGGCTAAACCTTTTACAGGTATCATCCCACTTGGGTCCTCATAAAACCTTTGTGATATTTGGTTACTTTTACTTTTAAAGGGCAAATCTGGGGCTCAGGAACTACTGTCTATCCAGCCCTTGCTCTAGTGTTTCACAAACCATTTTTTCTGATCCTCATAGCAACTTTTTTTGGGTGATGTTATCATTACTTTCATTTTGGGGATGAGAAAAGTGAGGTACAGTTCACTGGTACATAGTTGAAAAAGTGAAAGTTGACCAGTCAAACCAAACTCTTTGCAACCCCATGGACTGTAGCCCACCAGGCTCCTTTGTCCATGGAATTTTCCAGGCAAGAATACTGGAGTGGGTTGCCATTCCCTTCTCCAAGGGATCTTCCCAACCCAGGGATTGAACCCAGGTCTTCTGCATTGCAGGCAGATTCTTTACCATCACGGCCACCAGGGAAGCCCTGGTACATAGATGGCACTCAGTAAATATTTGTGGGATAAATAAATGAAAAGTTTTGGGGGGAAGAGGAGTAGTTATAACAGTTACTACCATTTATGGACGGTTCCTAATCGCCTGGTACTTCCCAAGTCTGGGCTTAGGCAGGTAAAGTGCTCTATACAGCGTAGCCTTTGAAGACGTCAGCTTTTTGGTGATCATCTCAGGAAGATGCCCTGGAGGAGGAAATGGCAACCCACTCCAGTATTCTTGCCTGGAATATACCATAGACAGAGGAGCCTGGCAGGTTACAGTCCATGGGGTCACAAAGAGTCTGACACGACTGAGAACTGAGCACGCACATGCACTCAGGTGTAGCTGTGCATAATCCCCGTGATGTCCTAGTAGGTTCCCATTTTTAAAAAATTATTTTTAAAAATTTATTTATTTTAATCGGAGGATAATTACTTAACAATACTGTGACGGTTTTTGCCTTACTCAACGTGAATGGGCCACAGGGCATCCATGTGTCCCCTCCATCCTGAGCCCACCTCCCTCCCCACCTCATCCCTCCAGCTTGTCACAAAGCACCTGGCTTTGGGTGCCCTGCCTTCACGTAGGTTCTCATTGTACTGGATGAGAAACTTGAGGCTTCCCCGAGAGGCTAAGTCACTAAGTCCCCGAGATCTCGCAGCATGGGTCTGAAGTCCAACTCCTAACGGATGCCAGGTCAGGGCGCTCGCTGCCCCTTCCCACACCTGTGCGGCGCCCCGAATCAGTCTGCGGAGCGGTCACCCCGACGGACCGACGGATCGATGATCCGAGGCGGCTGAGCCCCGGGAGGGGCGCCCCTCGGGGAGGCGTACGGGGGCGGGGGGTGTCGAGCCGCCGGCCTCGGTGATGCTAACGAGGCTGCTCTCTCTCTCTCTCTCTCCTCCTCCACCGCCCAGACCCCGGGCCGCCGCGCGACACCTGCCGGCCATGGTGCTGTGAGCGCCTGCGCCTGCGTGCGCGCCCCCGCCCCCCTGCGCGCGATCCCGCTCCCAGATACCGGGACGCCGAGCGACTCGCCGCAGTCTTCTCTCCTGACGCGACCTCCCGGCCGCACGCGGCCGCCTGACCCGGCGCTGTAGGCGCGCCCCAGAAATGACGCCCAGGCTTACCCTCTTCGCCCCATTTTCTCACATGAGGACCCTGAAGGGCGAAGTCCCTCTCCCAGGCCTCCCCTCTCCCCGACCTCGGCCACATCTTCAGGCGGTCCCGGAGTCGCACGCCTCTTGAGTCGGCTGACCGGGCTGATATAGCCGCCTCGTGGGTGGCGGGAGAGGATACTGAAAGCCTCGCTGAGGGTTCTCAGCGAGGGCGGGGGAAGGGAGACTCCCACCACCCTCACAGCCGCGTGTGGGAAATAAATGGAGAGCGACCTCCCCGTCCCAGGGTGGGCAAAGCGGGCCCCGGGGCTGGCACGCGCCATCTCTCTCCTCCTCCCTCCTCAGGGACTGCTACCCTGCAGTGTCGCCCCTTCCTTGAGAGCTGGGGGCTGGCGGGCTCAGGGGCAGCCAGAGGAGGCCGGAGAGACCTGCCCTTCCGTGCCAGGACGGGGTGGGGGGCTTCTCTCCTTCGGGCCACTTGCCCCCCCAAAATGGGCTCCCTGGGGACACACAAGGCACAAATGTGCCAAACAAGCTGAGAAGGAAGGCAAAACCGCGGAGGCTCAGCGGTAAAGAATCTGCCTGCCATGCAGGAGATCAGGTTCGATCCCTGGGTCAGGAAGAGCCCCTGGAGGAGGGCGTGGCAACCCACTCCAGTATTCTTGCCTGGAGAATCCCATGGACAGAGGAGCCTGGTGGGCTATAGCCCACAGGGTTGCAAAAAGTGGGACACACTGAAGCGACTTAAGCACGCATCAAGGCGAAATAGAAAGCCACTCCCTGGGATAAGGCCTGCCTCTCTTTGGGCCTACGCTTCCCCTATCCCCATCTGTAAAATGAGAGAATTGGACCAACGCCGCCTCGCCTTCAGCTCGGACGTCAAGCTTGGAAAGGGGATGCCGGGCCCTCCTCGCCACCCTCCGGCACCAGGAGGCCAAGACTGGCTTTTCGGTCCCCGGAAAGCATCTCAGAGCTGTGCGGGATGCCAGGAGGTTCCGCCGTTGGCTCCGTCCGGTTTCCCCAAGCTCCGGGCCGTGGGCGCCCTCTAGTGTCGCCTTCCCCACCTTTCAGTCATTTACTAGAATCCTGCCTAGGGCGTTTTGTAAAATAAACTATAATATTGATGAAAAGTATAAAATGTATAGAGTTTTCAAGAACCTGTGTTCTACTTCCAGAAAACGGTCACTTTAACTTTGTAAATATTAAATGATATTTACGAACCTGTGATATATATTATTTGATTGTACATGTACAACTGTAAATACATTTGTACCTCTCTTGTATTCTAAAATAAAACTTACTTGGAACATTTATCACTTAGCATCTGAATGGGTCGATCTTTTGTCTGCACGAAAGGGAAATGTGGAAAATGTCTAGAAGTTGGAGAACGGGCAGGAAGAGTTGTTTCACCCACTGGTTTTGAAAATAACCATCCTTGTCGCAGCTGGGGTGTCAGCTCACCAAAGAGAAGGCCGCAGTATAAAGCAGTCAAAGCTCACAAGGCGCTGGGCAGATTCCTCCTGGTTTCCAGCTGACTCTCAAATATCAGTGTCTTGTTTTCTTACTGCCCCCAAATCTTTGCTGCTGCTTTTTTAAAAATTTTCATGGACAGTTTGAAGGAATCCATGCAGTCCAGGCAGGTGGACCAAGATGGACAAGAAATACCCTCCCAATGCCTAGAATTTCCAAATGCTCTGGTGCTCATTTCCGGACACTCCTTCAGGAAGAACAAAGAGCAGGGAGGCCATCAGTGAAGGGCCAGGCCCCGACTCTCCTCCAGGACCTCCTGGCCAGGGGGGGGGGTGCACAAACTGGGAAGTGTGAGTTCACACCTGTGCTCCAGCACGTAACAGCTGTGAGGCTGTCACCCTTCCAACCCACTGGCATCCCTCAGGCCCACCTCTCTGTGCGTTCTAGCTGTGTACACACACACACACACACACACCCTGAAGATGCTGGAATTCACATGTACATACAGGCCATTCCCATTTGGAGCTTCATGTATTCCCAAAGACCCCATACTTCGGGGGACTGATCTCGCACCCTGGCATGTAGGGGCACAGGCAGAGACGTACACTTGAAGGTCCTGCAAGTTATTCACTTGCAGGTCTTTGGGGCCAGTGGGGGACATCACGCTTCATACTCCTCCTCTTCATCCCATTACAAATCTTGCTTCTCTTTTGATTCCTCACTAGACATTTTCTGATGCCTCTTGTGGCCCGTAGTCTTACCCTCCTCTCACTGCAACACAGTGTCAGACTTCATAAAAGTCAGTGGGCCCGCCCTTGATCAAAAATCTAAATTGCTTTCTGTAGGGAATTTTATGAAGCTCCAACCGGCAGATCTGAAGGGCAACAGCCCCTGCTCCAGAACCCACCTGGTGGCAGCAGGTTGTAATTGCAGAATTAAAGTGCCTGTGTTGCCCCCATAGTGTTGCTGGCACTGGAGATAACAGGTTGGGCAGAGAGGCATTGGCCACTGGAAGGACTGCATACCGGTGGGGGCTTCCCTTGTGGCTCAGCTGGTGAATAATCCGCCTGCAATGTGGGAGACCTGGGTTCGATCCTGGGTTGGGAAGATCCCCTGGAGAAGGGAAAGGCTACCCATTCCAGTATTCTGGCCTGGAGAATTCCATGGGTTATACAGTCCCAAAGAGTTGTGTCCCAAAGAATCGTGTCCCAAAGACTTGGACACTACTGAGCGACTTTCACTACTCACTGAGGCTTGATACTCAAAGCCTAATCTCAGTTTGTTCACTTTTCCAGCAGGGGCCTCAGGCTCCTTTCCCAAGACTGCACGTCCCCCTCCTCCCAGCAAAAGCACACAAATACAGCTAGAGTAATTTTTGAGTTTAGGGATGTATACGCATGCATTTCGGGACTCCTCCCCATAAATCCGTGAACTTGATGCTCTTTTTTCTTTGTTGTCCCCCTTCCGATGCTCTGTTAACATCCATCTGAATTATGAGAAATCTGAGGCATCAAAAAGTGAAAAGTGAAAGTGAAGTTGCTCAGTCATGTCCGGCTCTTTGTGACCCCAAGGACTGTAGCCTACCAGGTTCCTCTGTCCATGGGCTTTTCCAGGCAAGAATATTGGAGTGGGTTGCCATTTTTTCCTCCAAATGTCCATCTGAATTGTGAGAAATCTGAGGCATAGAGGAAGTCATTTACACATGTCACTTAGCCAGTGAGTGGCAGAGCAGGTTTCACCATGGCAACTGACCCCAGAAGCCATGCTCACGACCAGAAGGCCCCGCCACCTACCAGTCAGTTTGTAGATTCAATCAGAAGGGCTTGCTGCGTATCCTGTAGGCATGCGGTACAGACAGCACTA